ACAAAAATAAACAAATGGGACCTAATGAAACTTAAAAGCTTTTGCACAGCAGAGGAAACTGTAAACAAGACAAAAAGACAACCCTCAGAATGGGAGAAAATACTTGCAAATGAAGCAACTGACAAAGGATTAATCTCCAAAATATACAAGCAGCTCATGCAGCTCAATATCAAAAAAACAAACAACCCAATCCAAAGATAGAAGACCTAAATAGACATTTCTCCAAAGAAGATATACAGATGGCCAACAAACACATGAAAGGATGTTCAACATCACTAATCATTAGAGAAATGCAAATCAAAACTACAGTGAGGTATCACCTCACACCAGTCAGAATGGTCATCATCAAAAACTCCCCAAAGAATAGATGCTGGAGAGGGTGTGGAGAAAAGGGAACGCTCTTGCACTGTTGGTGGGAATGTAAATTGATACAGCCACTATGGAGAACAATATGGAGGTTCCTTAGAAAACTAACAATAGAACTAACATATGACCAGCAATCCCACTACTGGGCATATACCCTGAGAAAAGCATAATTCAAAAAGAGACACGTACCACAATGTTCACTGTGGCACTATTTACAGTAGCCAAGACATGGAAGAAACCTAAGTGTCCATCGACGAATGGATAAAGAAGATGTGGCACATATATACAATGGAATATTACTCAGCCATAAAAAGAAATGAAATTGAGTTATTTGTAGGGAGGTAGATGGACCTAGAGTCTGTCATACAGAGTGAAGTAAGTCAGAAGGAAAAAACAAATACTGTATGCTAACACCTATATATGGAATCTAAAAAAAAAAAAAGGTTCCTATGAACCTAGGAGCAGGACAGGAATAAAGATGCAGATGTAGAGAATGGACTTGAGGACACGGGGAGAGGGAAGGGTAAGCTGGGACGAAGTGAGAGAGTAGCATTGACATATAGACACTACCAAATGTAAAATAGATAGCTAGTAGGAAGCAGTTGCATAGCACAGGGTCATCAGCTCAGTGCTTTGTGACCACCTAGAGGGTTGGGATAGGGAGTGTGGGAGGGAGACACAAGAGGGAGGGGATATGGGGATATATGTATACATATAGCTGAATCACTTTGTTATACAGCAGGAGCTAACACACCATTGTAAAGCAATTATACTTCAATAAAGACATTAAAAAAATAAGGGAAATGCTGAATTGAATATTTAATAAATTAATCCCCATGCTGAGAGTTGCAGTTCCAGAAGTAATGCCTCTTGCATGACAGGACTTAATCAATACGAGTTAATAATGGTTTGAGGGCAGGTCAATGCCTAATATGTTTGCAATACAAATTAGAAGCACAGAGGAATCATACTCAAGGTTAAATTCTTCTAGAAAAGACTGTTGGTAGTTTTGAATAGTTAAAGGAAAGGAAAGAATATTGAAGCTTTCATTGGTGTTGATTCCTTTGAGAGTTCCTGGGTCGTTAAACATGAGCTTATTCATATAAACTTTGGCCCTGATTTCTAGGTTTTACTATTTTTCTTTCATATTTTTCATGTAACTGAATTGTACCAGATTGTCTTGGGTGCTCAGCAGTAGATTCTGATTCTAATATCCATGCTGCTTCTCACAGAAGGAAGAAGAGGAACAGGAAGCAGGGGGAGGGAAGGCAGAAGAGAGGAGAGGAAAGAAAGAAAGAAGATGAGTAGAGATGGAAGAGGAACGGATAAGTGGAGGAAAAGTGGGGAAAAGGAAAAGAAGAAGGGAGAGGTGGGAGAGAGGTCAGGAGATAGGGGGGACAGAGGGAGCGGAGAGGACCAGACACCTCTCATTCATTTTGACAAACTGGTGAACTCTAACTTTTTTATACAAAATATTTGAAAGTGGGCCCCTAGATATATATATGGAGGTCCTTATTTCTGGGGAACTAAAAAATTACTAAGCAACCCTTGATTAGGACATAAATACTCAGTTTTAAGCTTCTAAGTTTTATACAGTTTAAATACAAGTTTTCAATAGACTTAAACTAGATTCAACATGGAGATAGTACAAATTAATTTTCTTACATAATTAAAATTTTTCTCTCAGATAATTGCATGACATTTGGTAGAAGAATTTTAATGCTGGGAGAGGATACAATGATGGTGACTTTGGAAGGTCCTGAGCAGGTGCTTTTCCAAGAACTGAGCAGACTATTAAGACAGGAAGGAAAGGAGATGGTAAAGAGGTTAACCTCTGTAGGCATTTACATCTGGCTGGGTTACATCTGTTTTAGGTTTGCTGTTCTTATCAGGTCTTCCTGGCAAGCTCTTTAAGGATCTGATAAAGCTAATAAAGAAATATACTAGAGTAGGCTCAGATGAAGGGATTCCCACTTCCCGAGTTGGTCTGCCTGCAATTATCTTACAGAGAAGTCCTGTTTCAGACACCTGAGCTGTGATTTTCTAACCCCAAGGATGTTACGGTGAAAAGAGATTAATATAATAGAAGACATTGCATTAAGCCCTACACTACATTGGTTTGATGAAGCTTGAGGAAAATAGGAATAACTCAAGTATGTTGAGGATCAGTGATTTTATAAAGAATAAAGCTTATTAATGGTCTTGAAATGATTCCATATGAATACGAAACCATTGTTATCACTGGTAACATCAAAATATCTTGCCAACATTTTTCTGATTCAGACTATTAAATTTCATATTAAAATATGATAAAAAGATATTCATTAAATAGACCTTGTAGACAGACAAAGCTTGAAGAACAGTGAAGTATAGTTAGGAAACTACACAAACAACAAGCACATTTTAGAATACTTTTCCAAAATGTTAAGGACAAAGTTGGGATGTAGTAATAGCATTAGTAATTGAAATTTAATTGAGGGCTGAGCATGTATTAGGAACTGTTCCTTCTGCTTTCAATATATTTATCATCTTATGTAATTCTCACAAAACCCCTCTGCAATAAATACTGTTCTATTACTGGTAAGGACGGAATCAGGAACGAAAAGTTCCACAGAATGTACTGGTGTATAGAAAGAGAATAGAATACGTCTGAACTTGAGGGTATCAGAGAGTTAATTTCCTACTTCTCAGCTCGAGGATGTTGAAAAGTATTTAGTAGACACAGAAGACAATAAAGTTTATAAAGCTGATATAAAGAGGAAAGAGGAAAGAGCTGATATAAAGAGGAAAAAAGCATTTTCTTAGATTTCAAAAGGTTGTCACCTTGGCTTAAGGAACTCTAAAATGACAAATTATGTTTGTTTTGTTTGTTTTCATACTATATTGCTACTTGGTGTGCTAAAGAGCTTTTAAATCTCAGCAGCACCAGAGAAAGGGCTTGACTCTGAGTCAGATTGGCTACAGAGACCTGACATCTTGGTTGCACATATATTATGTTGCTATCACTTAAAGCATAAGTAAAATAAATACACTTTAAGCTTAAATAAAATAAAATAAACCGAAAGATAGTATGATGGTAATAATTTTGGAGTGACAGCAATGTGCTATGCTTTGGACAGAATTGAGCTTAACTTGGATCTTGTTTACCCTTTTAATTTCTATTTTTCTTTTCATTCTTTCAAGAAGGGCTAAAATAGCTGTCAGCGCTCTACTAGCACTAAGCTGGTGACAGTGGACTATTTATTTGGTTCTAAAAAACATGGCTTAACTGTAGCTGTCAGTAAAATAGGGGCCTAAGCATACCACAGTTGCCCACACTGAGTGCCACAGGCCACAAAAAAGCACTTAGTAGTTGTATGTAATCAAATTTGTGAAATCTGATCCAGAAGAGCACTACACTATTTATAGGAGTGCCATAATAAATCTTTTGTGAACTATAAAATCTATTTGAAATATAATGTGAAATATCTCTTAATTTGTGTTTTTACATTTGAATTTTTTGTGTAATGTGGCCTTCTTAAAGTAAGAAACTTCTGTAATTTATGGAAGCCCGGATAAATCTAAGGTAATCAAACATAATATTCATTCATTAGTTCACTGATGGTATGTATATATGGTATGTATGTACTAAGCGCTATGCCAGGTCTGAGGGATGGCCATGATTAAGTTCATTAATGCCCTTAAGGTGCTCAGCTGAGGTTGGGGAGGAGAATTCTGATGTGCTAAATATGCTTTTCTTGGAAACTCAAAAGGGGAATAAGCACAAGATTTCCTGACGGCAATGCTGTAGATAATCTTTTTAAAATCTCCTTGCATATAACTTACAAAACAGTAATGTGATGAGTCTGTATTGTCACCACATATTAACTGTTAAATGTTAAGACGAGAAGAATTTGGCAAATCTTGGGGAGCTGAATGCCCCAGAGCCCTAAACTACCTAGAGATTGAGTCTTTCAGCCATTACAGCCTGAAGGGACCTCTGATTCTTGTGTCCTTCTCAGCCCCCTCCACAATCCCATTCCCTCCCTTGTTTTTCAGAGGAAGAAATTCGTGCTCAGAAAGGTTGAGAGAACAGCTGAAACTGGAACCAGCCAAGCCTTTTTCATCCTCAAACTTTTTAGCTGATTTGCTAAACAATTCTGTTCCTCTTATTTAGAAAAGCTGTATAGAAAAGACATATTTTATGGTTTGAGGGGTGTTCTCTTGCTCCCTTTTAGTTAAATTTACATAACGTGTAAGCAGAAGGTGTGGTGGCAACAGATGATGAATGGTAAAAAGAAACTTCCCCAAGGACAGCCGCAATAGACCAGCTCCAGGCTCAGGTCCACTTAGTCCTCTTTAACTGACCCAGCGCTCCCCCTTAACTCCGCCCACTCTGAGTAGTAGACTGTTAGGAGAGTGAAACTACAGATCCCAGGATGCAGTTGTCCCTCTCAACCTCTATGTAGCCCGCTCGCTCCCCTCATTGCATTCTGGGAAGTGTAGTTTCTTTCTAAGCACTATCTGCGTTCACTGTCTAGGAAACCAGGGCTTCTAGGCTTGAGAGATACGTCTTTCTACTGGCCCCGCCCTTTACATTGACCCTGCCCCAGGTTGCTTAGGAGATGAGAGAAGCCGAATCTTGGGCTGTGTCGGCACAGGCAACAGGATAGGTGCAGAGAGAAATCCTCTGAGATCTGTAACAGGAGGGCAGCCATGGAGAGCTGTGACAGCTCCTGCCAGGGTTGGTGTAGCGGTAGGCAACACTGGTTTGAACTCGGACCCATGGACTTGATGGAGCGCAAGGGCTCCCTAACCCTCCGCTCCCATCACAAGAAATACTCGAAGCCAGTGCTGGTGTATTCCTGGTGAGCGAGCTCTCTTGCAGTTCCTAGGTGCTGGGAGAGGGAGAAGAAGGGAAGGGATGGGGGAGGAGAGGAAAGGAGAGTAAGAGAGAGAGGACAAGGGAGGAGAGGATAAAATAAACAGAAAAGAATGAGAAAAGAGGAAAAGAAAAGCAGAGAAAGAGAGAAAAAGATCATACAAGAGAGAGAACTGGGAGAGAAGAAAGAGAAAGGAAAGGGAAACATCTTCAAAGGAGAGATGGTGAGGGTCAGAGTGAGAGTAGGGGCAGGGAGGATGAGATAGGAAAGCCCTCCAAGAGCAGCTCCCTAGCACACACGGAGACCTGCTGCAGCCAGACCCTGTCTGCCAGAGGTCATAGATCACCCACACAGTGTAGGTGGAGGGTGTCTGCAGAGGCCTGGAAATCATGTTCTGAGACAAGTGCTTACTTACAAAAGGCAGGGTCTGTTAGGAGACCAAGGGCACAGGAGGAGGAGATGTCTGTTCAGAGGATGGCTTCCAGGACTGCTGTTTCTTGGGGGCAGTGAGGCACAATGAATGATTTGAAAGAGGTCCTTAAAATATTCCCTAGGCTACTAGGACTATTCTGGCCAGAGACTGCAGACTGGCATCCCTCACTGGGTAAACCAACAGACATAGTTTATTTGACATGCACTGTGTTTACATTTTTCTTTTAAATTAATTGCCCACATTGAAAACCAGGAGATTTCACATGGAAATCTAGGATTGTGTCTTTTCTTGAAAGTCTGAAAGGCTTGGCAACAGAGGATTTTATTCTTTCTGACAACTATGAATGTACTGGAGCTGAACACTGGCTACTCCTTAAGATGAGTCTACTGCTTCTTTCTGCGGTAATTTCAGGTTCTTTACTGGCTTCAGGAAACATTTTATTTACTTCCTCTGCATTAGGCTTTGGGTTTGGAATTCACTTAGAGAGTCTCCTGTTTATTAAATATTACAGTGACTGATAGTGAAACCATGACATTTAATTGGCAGAACAGTGGGGCCTTTTAGGGTATTTAGAATTCTATCCTTTGGGTCAACTTTCCTGGCTGTACTATTGACAGTAATTGTTTTTGGACTATTTGGAATATTCTGGGAAAGAGGAAGATTTGAAGTGAAACCTCAAATCTTGTCTTCTTTATACTTTCACCTTTGAAAGAAGATGAATGATTTTGACTCTAGCCCTAAGGCTAAGTCCTCCTTGATCCCATTCATTCATGTAATGTATAATATATGAATCCTGTTGTTTCTGTCTTGCAAACTTTCTACAGCTTACTCACTTGCCCATGAACTCTCTCCCTTTTACTTCTCATCCCTAAAACCAACTCTCTGCCTATATTGAGCTCACTGTGAGAGGTTATATTAATTTAAAATAAAAATCTACATTGGGAAGCAGAAAATCCTCCTTTAACCTCATACAGGGCTTACCTCACAGCCCTCAAGCAAAACACTTAGCTCTTTCATGATTTTGTTGCTCCATAAGGATTTAGGTCATAATATAAATCACTGCCAGAAAGAGAAAGACCTTTTTCAAGTGGACAGTGCTTCTGCTCCCTTCTGTACTACCTTTGCTTTGAAAAGTTGCCTTGTGGACATCATAGACATCAATAGCAAAACCACAGAAGAATATAGATGAGAAGGAGATGAGGAACTTGGTAGGAGAGAAGGGTGGTGTAACACAAAGTCATTCTGGCCACTGCTGGAAATGTAGAGAGTTCTCATGCTGTTGGTTTTAGAAAGGTTTGGGGGCAGGAAGAAATAAATTCAACCCAGCAAACATTTTTGTGTCATGCACTTTGCTGTGTGTTGGAGACACAGAGATGGATAAAGTGGATTCAGTGAGATAATTTGTATAAATCATTTAATACCATGCCTTGCACATAGTAAGCAGTCAATAATATATGGTAACTAATATTTATTTAGGATAACATAATGGTTAAAAGCTTGAGCTTTAGGTTTGAATACCAACTCTGCAGCTTGTGATAAAACAAGTGACATGACTGTTCTAGGCCTCTGTTTCTGCAACTGTAAAATGGGGGTGATAGGATTCTTGTTAAGACTAAACAAGGTATTGTATGTGAAGTATCTTCTGACATATAGCCTGGCACATAGTAAGCACAGTACAGGTTATATACATGTATTAGGACATGGTCACTGACCTCAACTGATTTCATAGGCCAGTAAAGAAAAATGTCAGTAAATTCAGTATAATCTGATTTGTGCAAAATAGAGATAAGAGGCAAAAGTAACAGGAGGGGGAGGTTAGTGTGTATATGGTTTTCTGAGCAAGGTTTAGAAGGAAGAATAGGAGTTCCACAGGTATACAAAAGAGAACAGGCAAGTACAATGTAATAGTAAGAAGCAGCATCATAGGGAAATAGAGTTCTTTATAGTTGGTAAATACAGTTGATCTCATTATCTGTAAATTCTGTATTTGCAAATTCATCTACTTGCAAAAATTTATATGGAACCCCACATCAATATTTGCAGCACTTTCATAGTCATTTATGGACATGTGCAGAGAGGCAAAAAATTTGAATCGTCCCACACACATATTCTCAGTTGATGTCAGATACTCTGCCTTCTTGTTTCAGCTCCTCTTACTGTAAACAAGTATTCTTTTCATGGTCTATTTAGTGCCATGTTTTTTGCATTTTTTTACTTTTTGTTGGTGATATCATTGTTCAGATGGCCCCCAAACATAGTGCTGAAGTGCTGTCTAGTGTTCCTAAGTGCAAGAAGGCTATGATGTGCCTTATGGAGAAAGTATGTGCATTACATAAGCTTCATTCAGACATGAGTTACAGTGCTGTTGGCTGTGAATTCAGTGTTAGTGAGTCAACAAGATATATTAAACAAGATATCTTTAAACAGAAGCACGCATAAAACCGGGTCATGTATTAATTGGTTGTTGAAAGTGTGACCAGAGGCTCACAGGAACCTAATCTTGTATTTCCCCTAGGAGCAATGGTTCAGTATTTGCTAATTGTTTGTGACTTTATAGAACATAACAACCTTGAATAATGAGAATCAATTGTAAGATTTGAGAAGCACTTGCATTTCTCTGAGCTGGCTGTGCTACTGACATTCTTGTTTTCCTTCTGTATTCAACCAGTCACCAAGGTCTGTCCTAGAAAACTCCGTAAAGTTCAAATTGTGTAAACTTCCAAATGAATCAATGTCATTGACCATTTTGTTTTTATGCATTCTGGTCATAATTGTTTGCTTTCTATTGACTTATTTTATTATATATTAAAAATTTATTGAATTTTAACCTTTTATTAGTGGTTATTTAATCGATGAATGCCTACTATCTAAAATACACCATTTGGGTGGCCTCCCAACTGAGTATTTGATCAGCTACGGGACTGTGCCTATAGGTTTGCAAAATAGAATTTAACTGGGAGAAATTCTGAGGTACCTCTGCTCATACAGTAAACATTTGGATGATTCCTGTGTTACTCTTTATGTGGAATGTAATACCAGTCTGTTTGACTTCACTATACATATTAAAAACAGTTGTGTATAATAGACATGATAAAGTGAAATACCCAGAATGGTTGTTAGAGATATTTCTGGTCCATTATTGGATAAGAGGTTGCCTAGGAACCATGTCTTCCTTGTAGCTGGAGTGGTAGATAGAGAGCCATATTACCTGCATCACATCTTGATGCTTCTGAGTGAGAAAAGCCTTTTCTAGAAATTATCTCTCTCTATTCATTCCTACAGCATTTATGGAGCTATATCATCAGATGTCTCCATCGGAAATTATGAGTCAAGGGGAAATTTTTTCTTGGGATATTTTCCCACTCACTGGAATAATGCAATACTAAGAACCAGAACAACTAGATTTGCCCTTAATAAATTCTCTGGTGTAAGGCTAGTTCTTATTTATTTATTTATTCTCATCTCTTGTACCTTGGCCAAATTGACATCTGTTAGTAACTGATGAGCCAGAAAATTCGTTCGAGTTTCCATGAAACAGTTCACGCTCTGGTCTCCATGGTGACACTTAAGAGTTTTAAGGACTTAGCTTAATTTTATATATTTGTAATTTCAATTACTTCTCTCTCCTGTGTAAGCCCAAAATTAAAGAGCCTGGGCATTTTACTGTCCTCCCCCCACCCTGTCCGCATTATAGGAAGAAAACAGAAAGAGAAAGGGAAAAAGGAAGTAAAATTAAAATCCGGTGATAATTGTGGGGTAGGGAACTTGATAGTTTTAAAGATTTTTACAGAAAATCATTTGGGCTGGAGAAAGAAATTAAAGAGCTTTCTATGATGCTCTTCAGACTTATACCCTATTGTGCTCTTTGAACAGAGAGTTCATATGTATTCAAGGTACTCCACATTCAGAGGAGAATCCAGTTTCAAGGCACTAGGATATCATTAGTATACTTATTAGAAAACAGAGATGAATTTTCTAATTTGCTGTATGTTCGTCCTGTAAATACAGCAGTTTTCTCAGGGACTAACCTGGAAGTATTTAGCGTCCTTCACACCACTAAGGACCAAGCTAGAGTTACATAGATCTTCTCTAGCCAGCAATCCCATCTTCTCACATCTCCAATGCACACTCAGGATAAAAAGGCAAAGAAAATAAGAAAGCCCTTTAGTAACTACATGTTGCAGCCTGCCTCTGTTGAAATCCATACATGCTTCCCCTTCCAGCAAGCCTCCATCCTTCTACTTTAACAACTTAAGCCCTCAATCTAAAGCTCTTAACTCTTATTTTGTGCATTTTAAATGTTTGGTTATGTGGAAAGGAGAGAGAAGAGACTTTAAAGAAGCTTTTTTGGTCAGTAATGAGAAGTGAGAAGAGCAAGCCTTGGGGCAAGGGGTAAGAACCCCATGGGTGCTCAAATAATATTTATCAAAGAAATTAACAAATGAATGGAGAGAAAGGACACACACACAAACACAAAAGGCACTGCAGGCTGTGGCCTTCTTTTTTTATGCTTTAAGAAAACCCTGAGATAAGGACTACAGGATAATGCAAA